CTAGCTCTGACACTTAACCAAATTCGTCCAGTTCAGTCTCCTCGAATAACCACAATTTTTAAAATGCTTCTGCAAAAGAAACAAAAACTTCAGGTCAGTTCAGAAGGTGAATGAGGCCTCCTCCATGAACCAAGCAGCTGGCTGGAGTCGCCAGCTGTGGAAGGGCTTATGGAAACTGGCTCAGGGACAACAAACTGAGCAGCAGATGCCACCCCACTGCTGAGGTGACATTGGGAAGGAAACAGGAGCCACTGGAGGGACGTAGGAACCGGTAGGCAGCTGGGGTGGGACAGGAGAGGTGCCAGAGCTGCACTTCCCTGTGCTGGCAACAGTGTCAGCACAGGGAAACCGAAAATCGGGCACTTCAAATCACCCAGAACACAGGTATTAAATCCCAAAGCTGGACTTGATTAAAACTAATGAGAATTTGAAGGGAAGTCAGAGCAGAGCCAAAGGAGAGAAGCTAATGCTTATACCCGTGTGCTGAGTGAGTGAAAAAGCTTGACCCCGGGGTCCCTGACAGGTCCTATCAGGTAGCAAAGGAGCCTGGTGCTTTGTTTCCTGAAACCAGTCCTGGACAGTCTGAAGCCTGAGGCTGAACAGCAAAGGTTTTGCAATTCACTGTCAATATTCTGTGCCTCCAGACCCTGTTTATCTCAGCAATTTTACATCAGGCTTTAATTGCCTAATTAAGACTCTTCAGTCAGGCAGGTTTCATTTCCCAACAGCAGACCCTGGCATGCTTGAGATCAGTGGGAGCTTTTCTGGGGATGGACTCAGAACTTGGCCAAGCATCAAGCCTGCCTGCTGAAACAACTGTATTCGCCTGGCAGAAAATCACCCCTTGGGACCATTTACACACAGAAAGGTTCAACTATTGCCTAAACATGGGTAATATGGTGTCATTTGAAGTGTCCCCTGATACGCAAGGCATCCCCCTCGGTTGCCAGCTGTGAAGCAGGACAATACACCATAGCTATACCCTCGCCAATTGAGTTTGGGCATTACAAGAGTAATTTTAGAAAATAATTAGCATATGCTTACTGTGGCAAAGCTCAGACTGATGGAACTGCATTCCCCTTCATCCCTAGGCTTACTCATCCCAGCTCAGCTGGAGCACACTCACAGCTGAAAGCTGTTAATGCCTCCTAGCTCTCTAATGATATATATGAAAAAAACTGGAAATCTTGATCCAATTCCAAGCAGCAATGGCTATTAGCTAGAAATGAGCAGTATGAAATCAGCATTTGGGGGTGGGCGTTCAGGGGAGTAAAGGTCAGAGCAGGCAGGTATTTAAGCAAATGCTTCATTTTAAACCCATATCCTTGAAACAGCCTAACAATCTCACTTACATTACTAGATTAATATGCTGGAAATAACCAAGTGCTTACTTGCTTCTTCAGATCAGGTCTTAAATCAGTGCAAAGATCATATAGGGTAAGCAGATCGGAGGAATCCTTGCTGATCTCCTTGCACACAGAAAACTTCAGTAGTGACAGCATTTTTAACAAGCATTAACCCCCTCCCCTACCCCTATTAACAATAATGGTTGTGCCTCTCTGAATGTTAGCTTTATGAAGATAATATCTGGAAAATTATAATTAAAATGTAAGAGATTTTGTCATAGCAAGTCTACATAGAAAAAAAAAATAAGCGTGGTCAGAAATTGTAAATGAAATATTGCTAAATTTGTCTAGAGTAGAACTAAACCAACTTGGTTAATCAATGTGAATATTTTTACTACTACTTTTAGTCTTGCAGTTAGCTACAAGGTGAAGGTGAGGCTGCTTAGTCAATAAAGGGAATTTGCTTTTTGTTGGTTACTTCCAGAAACCTTTTATTCCCAAGTTAGCAATACAGGTTTCTCCATTCAATAGGACCAAGAAGCAGAAATCATTGGCTAGTGCTGACATCCTGCCCCAGTGCATACATTATTCAGTGTTGTAAAAGTTAAGAAATCTTTCTTACTCAACTTTCTTTTAGAGTCTACTACTTATTTTCAGAAAATAATCTATTTCTAGTGATGCTTGCATCAGCATTATAAAAATTAAATCTCTGTATTTTTAAATATTTTTAACACGTTTTATCATGATCTCTACATCCTATATTTAGTGTTTGTTCCAGTGCTGAGGCACAGAGGAAAATCAGTTTATACACAGAGAAGTTAATAAAAGCACCCCTCTGCAGCATTTGAACATCCACTTTAGATGTGAAAACGCACAAATTCAGAATGACCTTAGACTCAAAATAAAATAAAATTAGAATAAATTAAATAGGCTGACATCTTCCTAAGATGTGAAGGTAGAAAAGGAACAAAAATGCAATGATATCTAATTTTCCTGTTCGTCTTGTATAAACAGGGGAGCTCCTGACAGAAGCTGAATATGGATTCATGGATTTGAACATCGTCTGACAGAAAGGCTATAATCCTGCACCTACACAATCTATCTCTTGTATAAAGTTACAGACATATAGGCCACTCCAGTGAAAGCAAACTGGACCAATTAGAGGCTTATACAACAAGTAGCATTGATGTTTGTTTTCATGAAAGCGGAGTATAGTGCTTTCCAGCTGCAGGGGAGAAATGGGAAGAGAAGAATGCCTTTAACTGTTTCAATACAATAGACACAGATGGAACTAGGCCAAAACCCAGGCCCCACAGAGCTTTAGCGTACAAGGATATGAAAGTTTGGACACAAAGCCTCGGTTTTGTTTCTCATCCTTCTGATGTGAAGGAAAAAAAAAAAAAAAAGGAGGGGGGAGGTAGAGGGGGAGAGAGATATCAAACCATTAAAGACATTTTGATATTTAAGATCCAGCTCTGATTTTAGAGCCCAGCTCTATCTGTAATATTTTTATGCACTCATCTCAGGCAACTTGCAATTGTAGCTTACTTGAGGGAGGCACCTAATTAAGTCTTTTAAGGCACCTAATGAAGTTTCCCAGACAAGCTGGAGACACCCATGACACCCCTTACCTTGTGGATAGTCACATTTGAAACAGCTTAGATATTTCTTGGGCACAACAGCATTTCAAAATGTTTGGATGTACAAAAAACAGCGTTATTGGCTTAAGAGTTGATGAGAGAGAGCCAGTACAGCTTATTTTGACAATACCTGCACACAAGAATTGATTTATTGCTGCTAGTGCTTTGTTTTATTTTGCCTATAGCAAATGCCAGAGTACTAGATGATTTCTTGATAGCTAGCTAGCTGTGGGCACTCATTTTGCCTCTTTTATCATCATGGGAGTTAACTCTATACACTGTTGTTTTAAACAATCGGTTGGCATTAGTGTCATACAGAATATTAAGCACCTGGGGAAAAAAAAAAAAAAAAAAGAATATCATGGACCCGGGAGGTGGGGGGGTGGCTGACAAAGAGAAATGTGCATGAAATTGAAATGTACAGTTTGATTGAGAATGAGAAAAAGAGAACACAGAGCATTCATTGCTGCTCTACCCACTTTATTCAGCCTGGTTGGTATGAACAGGAAATTATGGCTAAATTCATAACACCTACTTTTATGAAGGTCTTTCCACAGGAGGTAAACATATTTTTCCTGACAGGAGAGATGGCTCTGAAATGAAGAGCTCTCACAAGTGACCTTTTGAGGTTTTCACTAGGGCACGGGGGTGAACTTTGCATTGTCACTATCTACAGACACACAGTCCCTCACATTATAACATGCACGCACGGGCAGCGGCTGGCTCACTTGCTGTTTGATACATCAGAATTTAGAAGAACTAATATATGCATTAATTCAAGTAGTTAAATAATATCTGGTTAGCTATAATAATGTCTTGAAAGAAACAAACTTAGAAATAATGAAAACTGAAGTTATTTATGAATTAATTATTTAAGTAAAAGGAACTTAGATTAAAGAAGTAGCCTGGATGCCCTTCAAACTGTGGCACAATACAACAGCTATGTAAATAAACTTCTGAGAGCTGCTCCAAGCCATTCAAGTGAAGGTATTTTTGCTTGCGATACATTCAAGCCTTTTGAAATAAGTTTTCAACTGTTTAACAACCAAAGTTGTTCATTCAGAGAGCCAAATATGAGGACTCAACCAAAGCAGAAAGTACAATGTTCCTTTCTTTGAAAACATCTATCCAAAATGGAAGCTTTATTTAGAGAGCTCAGGAAGTTTATGCATTGCCTTCTATTAGCTCACAACCACAGAGCAAGCATCAGGAAGTGCACAAAAATGAACTTACTATTCCCATGTGGAACAAGTGCCAACAGTTACACCAAGTTTGCTTTCAACCTCACAGAACTCACTGCCAGCCCCTGGAGACTTGTTAATCAGGCACTGTCTCCTGGGGTTTCTTGCTGCTTGGCTGCCTGAAAATGATGCCTTTTCCTACAAAGCAAAGACATAAACATACCTTGTTTGATTTTTCTCTTTTGCCAGCTCTCATGACTTTGGAAAGTTCAAACCTGAAAACACAGGGAAAAAGATGAATCTTCTTTGTAGGATGAAAAAAGAAAATAGCCTCCATTTCAGCTGCATTTTCTGCTTTTTTCTTCAGCCCTAGCCCACTCCTAACCAGGACCTACCCAACAGAAGAATCAGTACACCTGTAGAGCATGGTGACTGTAACTACAGACCATTCGTGCTTTGAGCCCAGTCTGTATTACTGTGTTATGAGCTGAAAGGCTGACCCTACTACAGTGTGGATAGAACGTACTTAATTGTCCTGGTTTCAGTTAGCACAGAATTAATTTTCTTCCTAGTAGCTGGTGGAATGCTGTGTTTTGGCTTAGGATGAGAAGAGTGCTGATAACACCCCGATGCTTTAATTGTTGCAGAGCAGTGCTTATACTAAGCCAAGGACATCTCAGCCTTTTGCTCTGTCCTGCCAACGGGCAGGCTGGGGGTGCAGTAAGAACTGGGAGGGGACAGACCCAGGACAGGTGACCCAAACTAGCCAAAGGGGTATTCCATACCATCTGACGTCATGCTAAACAATATATAGGGGTGGCTAGCCGGGGGGAGGGGGCCGGACTGCTCGGGGTTAGGCTGGGCATCGGTCAGCGAGTGGTGAGCAATTGCATTGTGCATCACTTGTTTGTACATACTATTATTACTTTCCTATTATCACCATTGTATTATTATTGTTATTATTTTATTATTATTTTGTTATTATTATTTTCCTGTCTTATTAAACTGTCTTTATCTCAACTCACGGGCTTCACTTTCCATTTCTCTCCCCCGTCCCAGAGAGGGAGGGGGGAGGGTGAGCGAACGGCTGCGTGATGTTTAGCTGCCGGCCGGGTTAAACCACGACATTAATATACAACACTTCCTTAAAATAATTATGTACAAAGCCCTATGAGCAACAATGAGCGTTTTGATTATCATTTCTTGATGAAAATCAGTATCTTAACTTTGGAAGAAAAAAAGTTATTGAAGTTTCACCAAAATTTCCACAATGAAGATCTTAAGCAAAACAAAAGGTCTTAAGAAAAAGGCCTTAAAAAAAAACAGGTCTTAAAAAAAAATAAATAAGAAAAACAATAGGCCTAGTATGAAGCCTACAATGCAGTTATATTTGCAAGCTGGATAAGGTGTACCTGAGGGGAGTAACTCCCTACCTTTCTTAATTCTTTTTTATCACACAGAGAATGAGGAAAGATGTTGCAAACACATAGAAGTTTGTAATTTAGGACTGCTTAAAAAGCCTTCTGCTTTTAACATTTTTTCCAATTTTTTTTTCATTATTTAAAACTTTTGTTGTTGTTTAAATACTTCTCTTTTGTAGGAAATGTCTCATTTTACCAATACAGTGAGCATATTACACCTTATACACACACACACAAATAAATTAAGGACTATGCCAGCTGTTGCTGTTTTCTTTGTGCATTTTGTTTTGTTTTTGTTTGTTTGTTTTGTTTTGTTTTTAAACATATTAAAAATTACCAGGTGGAAATGAAAATTGTGGTTCATTTTGTTCATACAGCTGTCACAAGGCCCATCTTTGCTGGGCTATGCTAGTGTTTCAAGACTTTGGGATGAAGCACATTGCATTTCCTGGTCTGTTACAATGCTTGCTGGTAAGTACAGCTGGGTTTGGGCAAGGAAGAGGCAAGAAAAGACAAGCTTTTCTCAGGAATCGCAGTCATTTCTTGTGATTGCTGAGACCACAGGTCTTCATCATAGGACTATTCTAACTTTCAGGTGGGTAAAATAGACTGAAAATATATATCAGGAAGGTGAACATGGGTCTTTATATACATTTAAGTCAGTAGTATTTGGCCCTGCACAGAAGTAATTTAGGGAAATCAGGAGGAACTAAGATCCAGTTAAAGAAATAACTCCTCTTGCTCACCTCTCTCTTAAAGCACAGTGCCAAATTTTTGACGTGCCGCAGGAATGTGCTAGGAAAGAAAACTTAGAGATCAATAAGGATTTATTTTTATATTGGTTAAAATGCTAGAAAATCTTCTGATAGGGAAATACAAGAAATCCTCTTCAAAGGTGTCAGCCACCATGACCTCATGCGATCAGCATTTGCATTTGGGTTGAGATCTTCAAAAATCTCTTCTACCTCTATCTGTCCCTGTATGGAGGAAGTGCTCTGTTTGAATATCTTGTCAACTGATTTCTGTCATCTCAGCCCAGTTGTACCCAGGAAATAAGAGCACAAATAAAAAGAGATGAATTAGAAAAAGACTTCAAGCGAACAAACAATGTGTTACTGACATCATCAAAAACACTACTGCAGGTTTGTATCCCCAGACTGGAAACTTTCCCTTTCTACAAGTCCAGAATGCAGTGGCATTCTAAGGCACATGGAAAACAAGGAGGTGATTGGTGACAGCCAACACAGCTTCACTAAGGTCCAATTGTGCCTGACAAATGTGGTCGCCTTCTATGATGGAGTTACAGCATTGGTAGATAGGAGAAGAACAACCAACATCATCTGCCTGGGCTTGTTCAAAGCATTTGACACTGTCCCCCATGATATCCTTGACCGTAAATTGGAAAGACATGGATTTGATGGATGGACTACTCTGTGGGCAAGGAATTGACTAGCTGATTGCACTCAAATAGGAAAAAAAATAGGAAAAGGGGGAATGGCTTTAAGCTAAAAGGGGGGAGATTTAGATTAGACATTAGGAAGAAATTCATCACTCAGAGGGTGGTGAGGCACTGGCACAGGCTGCCTAGAGAAGCTGTAGATGCCGCATCCCAGAAGGTGTTCAAGGCCAAGCTGGATGGGGCTTTGGGCATCCTGGTCTGTTGGGAGCTGTCCCTGCCCTTGGCAGGGTGGTTGGAACTGGATGATCTTAAAATTTCTTCCAACCCAAACCATTCTGTGATTCTATGTTTATCATAAGATTTGAATAACTAGATGGCACTCTCTCCTCGGTGCACTGCAGTAACATTAAGCTGCTGGTAGAAAACAGATGGGAAATGTAAAAGTCATACCTGATATCTGACTGACATCAGCAGAGTTAACAACTCTGTTTCACAGCCATGTCTCCACCTGTAGGAACTACTATACTATATTTCATTGGCAAGATCATAAACATACAGAGAGAAGTGGTTTCTCGCTTGTTGCATATTTGTTATACAGTAGCTGCAAGTGCTAAGAACATGCTGCTTACAAGACGTGTTAAGCAAAGACTGACCACAGGCTGGATGGAGGTTCACCCAAGGCTTGATTGCAATGAAGTATGTAATAAATATGTAAAATATGTAATATTATATTTTTCCAATGAAAATATGAGTGCTGAGGCAAACAGATTTCCCAAAAAGAAAAATTGTTGACCTCTACCCATTTCCTAGCATGGTATGATTTGTTCTCTGAGAACTAGGAGAAAAAATGCTTATGCTTCCTATGGTACATAAAGCTTCTAGAAATGCTCTGAACTACACCTCTGCCGCCTGGGACTATGTGGTGGTTGTTTGATATTACAAAAGGGGAATAGGCAACTACTTCCATGGATGCAGCAGAAGGGAGCAGAGTGTCAGCAGTGTTCAGAGTATCTCTGAACAACCCTCCAAGACTGTGAAAGTGACAGATGCTGTGGTTCATACTTGGTGATGTTTCTGCTAAAGTAGTATGATACACACCAGAAACAAACAAACAAACCCACCCTAAACCAAACCAAACCAATGTTTCTGCAGCATGCTATTTGAGATTGTGGTAAGAACCCCTGGTCTATGCTGCCAAGCCACTGCTGATCTGCAGCAGGACTGCAGGCTTTCATTTAGCCCTCCCTCATCTCTTTCTACCTGTTACACATTACCTCCCATTTTTAATTTCTTCAGCAGCTGCAAGCCATTCCTTCATTACATGGCAGGTACAGTTCATGTCTGCCTCCCACTACTGCTGCTGCTACTTCCCAATATCCTTGGTTTCTCCTTTTCAGACCCCACTTCATGTGTACCACCTATTAATATATCAGGAACAAAAAAGATATTGGAAGCAGTGGAGAAAAGCAGCCTTCCACCTTAAGCTATAATCTTTGAGTGTATTTTGATAGTTAAAGTTTCCTCTTGGCTATCTCTTCTGAAAAACTGGCTTAGCTCCCATTAACACCGTACAAAAGCACCACACTAGTGAATGTATCTTGACAAACTCCATGTGAGAAGGCAAAGTATTACCCATGGAGGGTATAGCACAGGTCTGAGGCAGAAAGTTCCTTACAGTAAATATGCATGTGGTACAGAACCACAGGAGTACAGGGGTTGCTATGGCTTGTTTTGGATTATGGGTTTTCATTTTGATTTTTACAGATAGTATGGTAGTACTGTATCACGTATCAGTTCATAGAGTTTGTAATACAGGTGGTAAGCCCTACTAAAAGGCTGACGTAGATGTGGTGGAGAACAATATCCTTCAGTGGGGAGGTGTAGCATTGGCTCAACCAGGACTTTGAGAACTCCAGCATTTGCAGTGCACTGGCAGCAGGTATGCACACCTCCACCTCCCTGTAAAAAAACAAACAAACAAACAAAAAAAAAATAATAATAATATGTATATATATCTCATAGGTTACTGTTCAGAGAAAGTAAACTTGTTGCTTTCCTTCATCTGCCAAACTCATAATCAGTATTTACTCTTAATAGTGCAATGATACCTTGAAGCCCATGTTTTTCATTAGGAGACAAGTGTGTGCAACACTGCAAACCCAGACCAGACAGCAACACAAACCTTTAGATGCGATCTCAGGAAAGGGTTAAGAAATGATAATGAGAAATTGGTGGTCAGGTGTACATACTGTTTAATCCCAGAAATGCATCTTCAGCGGGCTTTGATTCAGGTTGCTCATCTGGGTGTGGAACCAGAGTCTGCAGGTCTGTCACAGATAGATCTCACTGATCTGTCCCAGAGCTGATGTGCGTGCACATATATGGTCTCAGCTGCTGCTAAGTTTCTTTACATCACTGTCACACAACAGCTCACCGATTGCAAAGGTGACAATATCTGTTGCCTGACCAAAGTCCTAGAACTTGCTGCAAAGCTCTTATACTTATTTTCAGAAAAATACTAGCATTGCATTCCAAGAGTTGCAGTCAAAGTCTCAACATCCAGGTGGAGATTAGTGACAAGTGGCATTCCTCAGGGGTCAGTACTGGGACCAGCACCGTTTAATATCTTTGTCAGTGACATGGACAGTTGGGACTGAGTGCACCCTCAGCAAATCTGCTGATGACACCAACATGCATGGTGCAGTCAACAGGCTGGAGGAAAGGGATGCCGTCCAGAGGGACCTGGACAGGACAGGTGGGCCTGTGTGAACCTCATGCAGTTCAACAAGGCCAAGGGCAAGGTCCTGCACCTCTGTCGGGGCAATCCCAAGCAGAAATACAAACTGGGCAAGAAATGCACTGAGAGAGAAGGACCTAGGGGTGTTGGTTGATGAGAAGGTCAACACGAGCCCACAATGTGCACTTGCAGCCCAGAAAGCTAGCCATATCCTGGGCTGAATCAAAAGCAGCATGGCCAGCAGGACAAGGGAGGGAATTCTCCCCCTCTACTGTGCTCTTGTGAGAACCCAACCTGGAGCACTGCGTTCAGCTCCAAGGCCCCCATACAATGATTTTACATACAGTGATGTTACATACAATGATGTTAACATGAAAAAGGAGAATCCCAAAAATGAAAAGTAGGATTCAAATCAAGGGGAACACCCAGTAAATAAAGAAGACAGCTTCTGTGTTTCTAATGCAGTTAAAGATTAGTGGGAAAGGCCACAAACAAAGAAGAACATAAGGAATGGTGTGTATTATGTGTGAAAGTAGCTGATGGTGTGTTGCATAAAGCTCTGTGGGTAAATGAACTACACTTGGGGAGCTCTTGGGTACTCTTAACTACTAGCAAATCAGCTACATTTCATTATTTCCTGCTGATGTTCCTACTGGAAGTATATTCAGCTCATTTTTAAACAAAGTTTTTTCTGTACTCAAATGGCAAACAAATCACTGATTAAATGGAGAGATAGCACACCCAGATGATTTGCATCAATGTAACTGCACCTCAAGTCATATAATTATGCATTGTAACACCACTGTGAAGGGCTTGAACTAAAATTCCCCATCCAGACAAAAGCCAGAGATTGTAATTGCAGAAAAATGAGGTTACTAATTTATTTTTTAGTATCACCCCCTGAGGGGTGTTGTGATGCCTGAAGATCCTAAGTCTCCAAAACATGAGTATATGTAACACTTGCCTTTTCCACAACATTTTGTGCTTACTAACCTAAAAGCTTTTTTTTTTTCCCCTCACACACTGTGTGCACACAACCATCTTCAATCCACTGCTGCAGAAACCAGGGGACACCACTGACGTCAGAGCTTGCATCCCATCTCTGCAGCACAGATCCTCGTTACCAGACCTGCAGAGCAATACCATTTCAACGTCCATGAAGGACTCGCCTCTGGGCTTCCTCCCAAGAGTGCTGGGAGCCAGAGGACAACTCCAGACCTGCATGGAGGAGATCACAGGCAGGATAGGCAGGCTGTGACTGCTCTTCCACAAGCTTAAAGTAATATTTAGGTGACAGTGTTTTGTGGAAGGGAGGCATTACTAGTCACGGCTTGGATTAGAGACAGGAAAAAAGTGAAGCAAATACAGCTTGGAGTGGAAAATAGTATAGCTTGTGGCACTTTTTATTTATTTTTTTTTTCCCAGCATTTATGTACGATCATTCAAAAACATTGTTTCTTATTGCTGCATGTCCTCTAAAAGCATTTTGTGGCCAGCTGTCTCCCACTTCACTGCGTGCAGTCGACACTGCATTTGGGGAAACAGATTCCAGCCTCTGCCTCAAGTTTGCTGCCCAACCCACCCCAAAACACCAGGCCTTAAAAAAAAGTGTGAAGAAAAATAAGGAAAGGAAAAAAAATTACAATTTCTAGAGGTGTCTAGAAACATGAACCCCCTCCAACTTGTACTTGCCTTGGAGACAACATCGGCATTGGTGATGTCACATCAACCCCATTGGAGACAAATGAGGTTTGTTCCAATCTTTTCTTGAAGAGCTCCTGTCAGAGAGTTGCCCTGCAGTGTAGCCAGCTGAATTTGTAGAGGAGGGGGAAATCTTTCCACACCCTCTAGCACTCTGGTCCCAATGCTCAGAAATGGTCAAAAGGAGTGTTAGGAGTTGATGCCTTTCTCCTGTCAGGAAAAAAATAAGGAGGAAACCAGACAGTAGCAGTATAAACCTAAGGTTTGTCTAGACCTTGATTAGGGGAGCAATTCTGTCCCCTCCACTCAAAAATGACATATTAGAATTGGAAAAGTCTCAGAAAAAGACAACAGTGATAAAACAGTTGCCATAAAAGAAAAAATACCAAGTGTACAAACATTCTCCAAATTTAAAGACAACTGAAATAGACTATGATAGTCTACCAAATTAGGAGTGGCATGTGGAGAGCTTCCAGGGTGTTTCCCTGTCTCTGCTAAGGCAACAGCTGAGAAATGCAGAACAAAGCCACAGAAAGGAGCCACACACAGAACAAAGCAATGGCATGTACTCCACTGCACAAGAGTCCGTGCATCTGCAGGTCTCCTTCATAGGGTATGGTGGGTACAAAAAATTTATATAGGTTCATGGGGAAAACAAGAAAGGTCACAGAAACAACAACAAAAAAAAATTACTGTAAGCAAAGGCAGCTTATCCATCTCATGGACTTCCTGAACAGGCTGGAGAAGTGTTGGGGGGTAGCATTGCAAAATACATACTTTGCCCTTTCTTCTCCTCTGGCCATTGACAGGGAAGAGGGTACTGGGCTAGATAAATCACCGATCTGAGCCAGTGTTGCCGTTCTTGCATTCCTGCCATTGTTGAAGTGAACAGCTAAACTTTTCCTGATTTTAACAGGTCTGGATTTAATTCCACCTAACTTTCTTAGAGAGGCTAAGTTTATAAAGCAAGCTACAATAAAAAGTTTTGTATGCAGCTTGCAAAGCAAAGCAAACAATCATGTTCTTAACTCAACTTACTTAAGGCAAATCAGCCAAATTAAAGCATCTATATATACACAGATAGTGTCTCATTGCTACAAGGAAATATAATTCTCAGGATTTCTCCTCAGTCCCTGCTGAAGCCTAGGAGGAAGCTGTCAATCTCTCCATTACTGCTGAACATCATCTGGTGGGATCCAGACTGTTTTGCAACCCGCATTCTAAATTCTGGGTGTTTGTTTGTTTGTTTTGTTTCATTTTCAGCTGTGTTGTCTCCAACTAAAACAAACAAACAAAAAAACTACAGATTTTTACCTGAATAAGCAATGCTTCCCACAGGGGAACCTCCACTGGGGCTTATGGAAGGTGCTGTTCTATCCCAAGAGTTGGACCTGTGTGAACACTGGGGTAGTCTCTTCATTGACTGTAACACCACAAGTGAGAAATTAAGTGATACCAGAGGCCACAGTCCAACGGATCCAGGACCAAACCTGAAACCTCAGACATGGCAAGGGAAGAATTGCCTCATGAATTTAAAACAGATCTCTGAAAGCACAGCAATTGAACCAATCTTACCACAACTACCCCCAGCAAACCTCAGTCATACAAAGCTTTCCTTCACGCTTGAGTTGGAATTTAGCTGGAGCAAAGACGAAAGAATCTAATTTCTTGTTTGAATAAAGAGAAACACTGATGATATCCTAGCAGGGCAAGTTTCCCTGCCCTGTCTGCTATGTCACAGGAACCAGCTGTAGAGACAAGATGTTTCGTTCAGATCGTTCTCTGTAATTACCTAGGAATATCTCTTGTTTACTTTGGTGGAAACACAGGTGACGTCCCACCCTTGCATGCAGAGCATGGAGTGCACCTCTCTTTTACCTGTACTGGCAAAAACACACAGAAGATAAAGAGATTACAAAAGTTTCTTTCAGCATTCTGGTCAGGCTGCACCCTAGGAATTTGAGAGCGAGGATGTGCATAGACAAGTCCAGAGCACATCAAGCAACTGCCAGCATTGCCAGCTTGTCTCCTTTCAGCTGTATCAAGCCAAACATAAGGACAAGACATCAACCTCCTTTAAAAAAAAAGGGTGCAGTGCAGTTACCCTGCTGCAGAGCAGCTCCTCAAGCACAGCTCTCAAGAGTAAGCACTGTAAACCAAGGACTGACGGATTTGGTTTCTGCAGGACCAGGGCTGAGGTTTCTGGTCTGGGGAAAGAAGACTCTACCTCACCCAGCAGCAGGTTCTCTTCAAAGCTGCATGCTGCTGCATCATTTTCGTAGTCATTTTCTCATCTATCAGCACCATTTGGATTAATTGAGCTGCACAGAGTCTTCTGCAGACCTGCTCTACATCCAATTATCCTGAGGTGATGAGGTGATCACCAAGCCCCTGGTTTTGGTTTGGGGTAGCACATGTTCACAGTCCTCAGTACCTGCCCAGCAGCAGTCTGGCCCTATCAAAGTGCTCTGGATTTACATCCCAGCCACCTGAAAGAAGCAACTCCACCTTTTGTTTTAATAACAAAAAGACTACTTGTGGGAAATTTGGGAGCTCTCCAGCTGTGCTAAAGGGTGAGGAGAAAGGGGTGCTTCTTGCTCTGCACATGTCTGGTCCACTCCAGCCCCCTGGTCCCATCAGCTCTCACACCTCTGGATGTAGCTGCTCGAGTCTTGGACAGCCCTCACATTTGCCATGCCGAGACACCGTGTTTAATTTATATTGGTGAGGTAAAACTGCTGCACTCATCCTTTCTCATGGAAGGTGCTCTAATAGGGCTGAGGTTATTATTTATTTTTTTTATTTTGAATGTAAATTATGAAAGCATAGCTGGGTTTAATCAAACAAGCTGTGTCATTCAATACCAAAAATGTAGTTAGCAAAACAGCAAGACTTCAAACCTTCTTCATCTTCTCTGTATTTGGTTGGGGAAGGAAGGGAAAGTAAATGAACTTTGTAAAAGCACAAGGGGATTTTTTTTTACAAGATCTTTTGTGAGGTTGAAAACACTAGCTTAATTGTACAAGACATTCTGTTCTCTGGGTGCAAATAGCTGATATTATTTAAATTGCTGTATACTTAGAAAGAAAACCATTTTTTTTCTATCTAGAGTCCAAGTTGTCTCAGAATAAAATGTACAGCAGTACAGACTGGAACGGCAGCCTCTGCGTATATGCTTTCTGTTGTGTCACTCCATTGTGTGACTCTTCCAGTCCCTGTTTCCCCATCACTTTCTCAAGATGGTTTTCCACCATCTTATCACTTACTCATTTTCCATCCAGTGTGACCACTGGAGCTTTCCTCTTCAGTCTCTGCTCCTGTTCTTGAGCTTGATCCTGCACTTGCAAAACCACCAGTGAGGATAAGGCAGAGCAAAAGATCTGACCCATCAGTATTCAAACTGACTCCAAAGTAGATATAAGCAGTTTTTCTCTACTCTGCTAACTATACAAACAATAAAAGGCCATTTTCCTCACATCAAACTTCATCACAGTCACTGACAACATGAACAAGCCAGACTGATCCATCTTACAAAGCTAACTTCACTACTTTTCCAGTAAAAAACAGTTTGGAGACTGCAGTGTAATAAGCATTGCTGGAGAAAGGTCCTCAAGCATGAAACCAGGACAAAGCCCACAGTGGATCCCTAAGCTCTCAAAATGTTGTGTTTTTTTTTTGTTTGTTTGTTTGTTTGTTTGCTTGTTTTTGTTTGTTTGTTTGTATACAGGTTTCAGATACCCAAGGACAAACATCCATCTTACTTATTTAATCTCCTGAACCATAATTTATCTACTACAAATAGAGCTGTTTAATTTCCATCAGTATCAATTCTTTCAAACATTTTTATCCTTCCTTTTCTAAGAGGAGACTCAATACCAATGCACCCTTGGTAACTCTGTTTTTTCATCTAAGGTAAGAAACAAAACCATAGGTCTGAAGACTACCAAATACTAAGGAAAGATACTTCATTTCCACCATTGCATCTATGACAAGTCCTATGTTTTTTTTGTTTTGTTTTGTTTTGTTTTGTTTGCGTGTTTTGTTTGGTTTGTTTGTTTGTTTGGCTTTTCTTGAGGGAGCACATCCAACACCAGTAACTTGCTTTCTTTCATGCAGGTAGTCTAATATGAGAGCAAAATAAATATTTGGTTTTCCCTCTTTGCAAGAGGAATGCTTTACACAAGGAATGCACCACGGAAATTACTTGTTTGTTTTTAAATATATGCTCCAAAGCTGACATTACCATTGTGGTCCCAGGACTTAACCTGATCACATGCTGCTTCTGGCAAAAATGAGCTGTTCACCATGAGCTGTTCATGCAGATAGACCACTCCAAACACAAGCACAGACTGCCTCCCTGGTCGTCCATACCAGGAGACTCCTGTAGATTATTTTGACAATAGCTCTCCCTTGTTTGAGGCCAAATTGGTCTGGTTTTAGGGTATGACCACCTGGTAACAAAAACAGATGTTTATGTTGCTCTCATCACCAAGTAGAATATTAAAAGGATGAAGTTAAAAAAAAAAAAAAAAACACACACACAAAAAAACAATCCTATTTTCAGTAGAAATAAAAGCCGTTCTGTAACACACTCATCAGTTATTCGTAACCACCCACCTCCAATGCCACTTTGCATTGACTTTGGGTTTGCTGTAAAAATACTCTGAGAGAGAGGACAAAAAAAGTTATCAGCAGGAATTCTGTTAACTGTCACCAAAAGCCTTTAGCTAAATCATTTCCTGTCCTCTAAATTCAGCTGGAAGCATTCACCATCAAGAAGGCAGATGCGTAATCGTGTGGCCCAGTCGCTCTCTGCAAGACAAACAGCGGAAACTGCATCCTATCATAAATCCGTCAGTCATATACCAAATGGGTATCTTGGGGGTTGGGTTTCCCCCCTCCCTAAATTATCAATTGGCAGACAGAAGCAGAGTTTGGAGATATGCTATTTTATCATGTGCTTTTCTTAGTAGCCCGGTCCCACAGATTCAGCGTCTCGCAGAGCTGGTGCCAGAGCAGTGAAGCAGATCTGGCAAGGAGGAGAGCTGCCCATGTTCCTGCTCTGCAGGGTGAGCTTAAACAAGGGATTGCTGCTTTTGAAAAAAAAAAAAAAGCACCTAAATAGTGCCCTTCTTTTTAGCTGCCTTCAGTGGATGAGATGAAGATTGATGATAACAAGAAGTATGAAGTTAATTTATTTAATGCAAGCTGAAAACAAAATAACAAAGACAGCATCCATGAGCCTCAGTAACAGCAAATAAGCAGCCAGACTCCTTTTGCCATACAGTTGCTCCTGAAAAATGTCAAGGCCTACCCAGCAGCCTAATGCTCTTTCTCAGGTAAACAGAAGTACAGCCACGAGGCTGAGGAGAGCTATGAAAGCCACAGCACAAGCCAGGGGTAGAAGGGAAATGGAGACACCAAGAGGTAAACGACAGGAGTTACAAAGGAATTTAGGAATTTTGGGAAGTAAAGGGATCTGGAGGATGGGATGGCATGTGGGCAGGGGAGCCCATGCAGAGTGGGCCAAAGCAGACAGCAAGACGTGAGGAAAGTCCATAGGTGTGGAAGGAGGCCTTTGGAAAACCCCTCTGATCCTGAAGGTTGCCAGAACAGGTGAGGCTGCTAGGCTGGGCCTGGGTGGCCGCCCATCAACAGACACTCAAAAATCACCAAAATACTTTGCTTGTTCCTGCCAGGGACAACGCGGGAAAAGACAAAGGCCTGCAGAGGAGACAGGATTATGGTCCAGCTCTGGTGGCTTCCTGTCCAGCACACAGCCAGAAGAACCACATGGTGGTTCTTCTGTTGCTCACTCTTGCCCTGCTTTCAATAGGAAACAACAATGAAATCTCAGTTACCATGGTAACTTTTAAAGTGGTGACTGTTGCAGGAACAAGCATTATGTATGCAAAATAAAAGCATCTAGGCAGAACAGCTTGGGGGAAAAAAAAAAAAAAAAAAAAACACCAAGCAAATTGACAGACTATTATTTGCAAAAATAAGAGCCTGGAGTAAGACTCCTAGATTCATGGTTCAGTTTTTGAATAAATAGAAGCTCTGAAGCACCACAAGAAAACAATTTCAACTTTTCCTAGAATGTGTAGCTAGTTTATCTGATGCTTCATCAGAGTATCAAAACCTGCTGTTGAGATGTGTCTTTGAAAACCCAGGTTTCTAGACTACTGCTGTCTTTTTCTAAGAGCAGTTACTAAGCACAACTAAAGGCTGTTTGCATGATTTCATGTGTTATTTCATTTCAGGCAAGAGGCAACTAAATAAATTGTTTTTCTCTTCACTGCCTCAACTTCATCACAATTTCTAGTCTGGTACTGACTCTTACTATGCTGCACCTTAATCTTTCAGCAAGATCATAGGGTAGACATGGGTCATGAGGATGCTTGTTGGCCTCATCTTACACCCAAAGAACATAAAACAAACAAACAAAAAAACCCTCCACCAACAAATAAGCACAAATTGTGGTTCTCTTCAGAGGAGATCTCTTACAGAAGAGCTAAGAATATGTCAGAGGTATTGTGCAATACTGCATTGCATTGATAGACCTGTAAGCAAGGAGCATGCACAGCCCTTTCCTTCTGCCAGTATACTTGGCTTCAGTTCCCTCACTTTCCTTAACAACAAGTTCACCTAAAAACTCAAGAGCCTTCTTCTATTTGTTTCTTTTACATTGATAAGCCTCAATAAAGACCTTTGAACACCTCAGCATGAGTCATGCACATATTTAACAGGGTCTTGGAGCAAGTCTCAAACCACTCCAAAATGCATTTCTTTGATTTCTGGCATATTAAATATTTAGTGATAATATTCAACCCACTATCAAAAGTCCTGGCTTCTGATGCAGTGAAAACTCAACAACTGAAGTTATTAAGCAGGTATTCTTTATTACGGTGCCAGGTGTGTGGGGATTGCTCCACCTAACACACACACACTAAAGGTTACTGGCAGTGTGCTTATGTTAGTGGGATAAATATATATTAATTTCAGTTCCTGTAAGTCTCTTGCATATTCATCAAGTCTCCAAAGAATCAATAACATAGGTTTCTGCCCCTATTCACATGCATATCGGGGTCCTTGAGTCCATCATACTCTGGTGGTCTTTTGATGAAAGTCAGAAGTCGTCTTCAATACTCAACTCCTGACTTTTCCTTTCTTTGACAGATTTCAGCAGTCAAGCCAGTTCTTTCTGGTTCTGTTATCTATCCATACAGTCTTTTACTCCCTTATCTTTGGGGTTGTTAACATACAATTGTGTTAGCTAAAACCTATGGAATCAACATCCTTTATCTTGTTCCCTGTCTCACTTCATCTCTGATAAGTCATATGATTCCTCAAAGATATTGAGGCAGAATCCTGGCTGGCTTGCTTTATAGAGGTCTCAATAACTCTCCAGGAACTGGTGCAATCCTATATCAAATGACACTTCTAGTGAGCTGTGGTTGTCTGAATAAGGATTGATTTAGTCTACAACAGGGGGATAAATGGCATAACTGAGAGGTGGAGCAAGAAGTGGAGACAGAAACCAAATCCCACAGATAGCTATGGGCCAACCCAATTGAAAGGAAGCTGTCAACATTGCTGTCAAACTAAGAATTAACCTAAATAATATTTCTACTGTAACTATCTTAGAATCTGCTTTACTTTAAAAAGACAAGGTTTGAGGGTTTTGTTTGTTTGTTTTTAGGTAGTTTTGCACTTTTCCCCCTCCTTTTGCTGCTTGTAGAGGCAGCCTAATTTTATTTATTTATTTATTTAGGATACGGATTTACATTCTGCTCAAGTGTTCTTAGAAACAACAAGAACAGTTCATCAAGCTAACCATGAGGGACAGGTAGCATTTTTTGAAGAAAAGATTTCCAAAAACTAACTTTTCATCTTGACCTTGTGAAGAAATGAAGCTTTTGCAATTGCAGCCTGTATGTCTGTCTCCTCTGTGAGTTCCATCCTCTCCTACCAGGCAAAACCTCTTCACCTCAGTAGCCAGTTTAGATCCATTTGGAAGGGGAGGGATCTTCAGGATGAAAATTATGTTCTAAAAATACATATATATATATATATATATTTGAACTGGAGGTTGGGTAAAGGACAGAAATCCAAGAGAGCACACCCAGCTGAGGGAGGAAAGCCAAGGCAGCCA